AGAATTGTTACTGAGGGACACAGAATTGTTACTTAGGGACACAGAAACGTTACTTAGGGACACAGAATTGTTACTCAGGGACACACAGAATTGTTACTGAGGGACTGAGGGACACAGAATTGTTACTGAGGGACACAGAATTGTTACTCAGGGACACACAGAATTGTTAGGGACAGACTCAGGGACAGAGGGACACAGAATTGTTACTGAGGGACACAGAATTGTTACTGAGGGACACAGAATTGTTACTGGGGACACAGAATTGTTACTCAGGGACAGACACAGAATTGTTACTCAGGGACACAGAATTGTTACTGAGGGACACAGAATTGTTACTCAGGGACACAGAATTGTTACTCAGGGACACAGAATTGTTACTGAGGGACAGACACAGAATTGTTACTCAGGGACACAGAATTGTTACTGAGGGGACACAGAATTGTTTACTGAGGGACACAGAATTGTTACTCAGGGACAGACACAGAATTGTTACTCAGGGACAGACACAGAATTGTTACTGAGGGACACAGAATTGTTACTGAGGGACACAGAATTGTTACTCAGGGACACAGAATTGTTACTCAGGGGACACAGAATTGTTACTGAGGGACACACAGAAATTGTTACTGAGGGACAGAATTGTTACTGAATTGTTACTCAGGGACACAGAATTGTTACTGAGGGACACAGAATTGTTACTCAGGGACACACAGAATTGTTACTGAGGGACACAGAATTGTTACTCAGGGACACAGAATTGTTACTCAGGGACACAGAATTGTTACTCAGGGACACAGAATTGTTACTGAGGGACACAGAATTGTTACTGAGGGACACAGAATTGTTACTGAGGGACACAGAATTGTTACTGAGGGACACAGAATTGTTACTGAGGGACACAGAATTGTTACTCAGGGACACAGAATTGTTACTCAGGGACAGACACAGAATTGTTACTCAGGGACACAGAATCGTTTAATTAAAGAGTATGTCAGACAACATGCAGAGGAGTGGCAGAGGAGGCAATGTTTTAGGAGCGAGCAGACGTGGCAGCAGAGGAAGGGGGGAGAGGCAGCACTAGTCGCAGCCAGAGGCCAGTGCTCCCGGTGTCATCCAGCGGTCGTGTCTCCACCGACAACCCTGCCGTCATCGATTGGTTGGCTCGGTCGTCTTCCTCTTCCCAGGTCACCTCTGACACCTACAGCCAACGGTCGGTGGGTACGTCAGACACAACCGTTAGTTGGCATGGCCCGGGAGCAAGCCCACTGAAATCACGTGTCCTCTACCTGCCCCTGTCCTTTGGTGTTCCCTCACCAAGCGAAGTATCGCATGCTGTGGGCTCAGCCCACTGTACAGTGAGGAAGAGCTAACAGAGGGCGGTCAGGAACGGGGGGAGACATCCGCCTCTTCAGCAGCCAGGCGAAGAAGTAGTGGCGAGGAGAGTGGCTCGGTAGCCGGTCTAGAGACAGGTCTGTCTCCTGACCCACCACACAGCCGAGGGGGCTAGTAGTGAGGCGGAGACCCTAATTGATGATGATGAGGCTGATCGCACTTGGCAGCCTCGTCGTCATCAGGCTATTGCTTCCGCATCATCAGGAGAGAGGGGTGGCAGCTTGGCAGCGAGCAAAACAGTCGGTGGGTTGCCCAGGAGGCAGCAGGGTCGCAGCAGTGTCAGTGGAGGCAAACGGCCACGGAGTACAGCACCAGCTCCACTGCAGCCTACCACCACGGCCAGTAGTGGTGCCGGTGTGCACGGAGGAAGAAGCAGCAGTCAGCCAGTGAGGAGTATCGGGGGCAAAGTTTCCTACTCGGCGGTGTGTGGCAATTTTTTCGTCAAGCCGCCCGAGGAAGTAAACGTAGCCGTATGTCGACTATGTGGCCAGAAAGTCAAGCGTGGCCAGGGGGCCCATGTTGGGACTACAGCGTTGCGGCAGCATATGCAGCGTCGCCATTTGGTGGCCCTGGGGAAAACCGTGATAAAGATACGGCGGTTCTGCTGCCTGCCCCAGCCCCCGCTCCATCACCCCGCTCCGTTACTTGCTCCGTCACCCGACGTCAATCGCCCTCTATCAGCCAGTCAAGGCTCCAACACCTCTGCTGAGGGGAGTTGTCGCTCGTTGGCATCTTCCGCTCGTTCAGATGATGCTCCTTCTCTCCTGCTACTCCTCTTCACGGATTCCGTCAGCAGTCTTTCTTGGAATCCGTTTCCAAGAGACAACAGTTTGCGAGCACGCACCCGACGGTGCAAAAGCTGAACGTCCTCCTGTCCAAGTTGCTGGTGCTGCAGTCCCTCCCTTTCCAAGTGGTGGACTCAGCACCTTTCCGAGAAATGATGGCTTGTGTGCCGCGCCGCGGTGGAGAGTGCCAAGCCGTCATTTCTTCGCCAAAAAGGCAGTGCCAGCCCTGCATTCACATGTAGAAGAGATGGTGGGCCAGTCTTTGAGCATGTCGGTCTCTGCCAAAGTGCACGGCAGCGCCGACGTGTGGAGCTGTAACTACGGTCAGGGACAGTACATGTCATTTACGGCCCCCACTGGGTGAACGTGGTGCCGTCACAGCCGCACCAGCAACTTGGACAGGTCACGCCGCTTTTGCCTCCACGTTTGCACGTCCTTGGTCCACAAAGATGTCCGCCTCTACCACCTCTTCTTCCGCCGTGTCCTCAGCCGCCACCCCCCCCCCCGTGCCAAGTCCCATTACCCGACCGGCATATCACATGTGCAGGGCGCAACGGTGTCACGCTGTGCTGCACCTGGTATGCCTTGGCGAACGTAGTCACACAGGGGAGGAACTTCTCAGTGTAATGAACAGAGAAATCGACAGATGGCTGTCTCCGCGCAAACTGAAAATCGGAACCATGTTGACCGACAACGGAAAGAACATGGTGGTGTCTGCTCTGCGTCAAGGAAGGTTGTGCCATGCGCCATGCATGCATGGCTCACGTGTTCAATCAATCTGGTTGTCAAGCGGTTCCTAAAATCCACCATCCCACTGCAAGACATCCTTAAAATGTCACGTAAACTTTGCATGCATTTCAGCCATTCCTACACCGCAAAGCACACCCCCTTGAGCTGCAGCGGCAGAACGGAATTCCACAGCATCGCCCTGATCTGCGACGTTGCAACAAGGTGGAATTCAACCCTACACATGTTAGACCGCCTTTACGAACAGCGAAAGGCCATCACCGATTTCCTGATGTTACAAGCGGATAAAGGTACTCCCCTGTGTAACTTCGATGTCAGCCATTGGCAGCTCATGCGTGACACCTGCCGCTTGCTCAGGCCCTTTGAGGAGGCCACGCTATTCGTGAGTCGGCAGGACTATGGGATGAACGACGTCATTCCTCTGTTGCACGTCCTGGAACAAATGCTGTTAACAATGGCTGGTCAGGGTGCGGTAGACGTGGCGCACAGATCTCAACGCCACATGACCCCTGTGGGGGCAGGACAGGAAGAAGAGGAGGAGGTAGAGGAGGACATTTGTGCTCAGGAATTATTGAGTGAAATGGGTGGTTTTTCCACTCAGCGGACAGGAGTGGAGGAGCAGGAGCATCTGGTAGAGGAGGAGGAGGAGGAGACAGAGGACCCAGACGCACCGTGGCAGTATGCTGTGGAGATGGAGGCAGGGAGTCCCTCGCATTCCTTGGCACAAATGGCCCATAGCATGCTCGGTTGCTTGCGTAGCGACAGCCGAATAATAACCATCAGACAGAGGGATGACTTTTGGCTGTCCACCTTGTTGGACCCTCGCTACCCGTTCAAAAAAATGGTGGCCTTTTTCACACCTGCTGAGAGGGAGGCCAAAATAACGTACTATAAAAACCACCTATATGTAGTCAGTTGGTCTCTGCCTTTGTGCGCCAACGTCCATCCTCAGACACTGTGGGCCCTGTGCGCTCGCGTTCCGCTGCCATGGCAGCAGGGGAGGGGTGGGGTGGTAGGAGCAGTGGCAGCTCCACCAGCAGCGGCTGCCTCAGTCTGCAGTCGATGATGAGTAGCTTTCTTCACCAGCGCAGTGAGGAAACTACTAACCAGCCGCAGCAGCAGCAGCATCAGGTGGACCTGGAGCAGGACCTCAAACAACAGGCTTGGGCCTACTTGGACAGCACCCTGCCAACCGAGGTAGACAATCCCCTTGACTACTGGGCAACGAAACTTGACCTTTGGCCCCAACTAGCTGAATTTGCCCTTGAAAGGCTGTCATGCCCGCCAGTAGCGTGGCATCGGAGCGCGTGTTTAGTGCGGCAGGAGGTATTGTAACTCCGCGGAGGACACGACTGTCCACCCAAAGTGTGGAGAGACTCACGTTTGTGAAAATGAATCAGGCGTGGATTAGTCTGGATTTCAAACCACCAGTTCCTGACACAACTGACTAAATCCGCCATGAATCATGCCCCAAACATGTGCCACTTTCAGGTCTCCTCACACTGCTGGTGTGTTCCATTTTTTGTCATAGGGTGCTGGCAGATTACGGGCCTCCCATAGCTGCTGCCAGGCCCCTAATCTGCCATGGGCCCCTATACCCGCCTCCTCATGCTGCTGCCAGGTCCAGAGTCTCTCATGGGTCCCTGTACGGCCTCCCATTGCTGCTGTCTCCATCGCCACACTCTGCCATGTGCCACTTTCAGGTCTCCTCACACTGCTGGTGTGTTCCATTTTTTGTCATAGGGTGCTGGCAGATTACGGGCCTCCCATAGCTGCTGCCAGGCCCCTAATCTGCCATGGGCCCCTATACCTCCTCCTCATGCTGCTGCCAGGTCCAGAGTCTGTCATGGGTCCCTGTACGGCCTCCCATTGCTGCTGTCTCCATCGCCACACTCTGCCCATGTGCCACTTTCAGGTCTCCTCACACACACTGCTGGTGTGTTTCCATTTTTTGTCATAGGGTGCTGGCAGATTACGGGCCTCCCATAGCTGCTGCCAGGCCCCTAATCTGCTGCTGCATGGGCCCCTGTACCGCCTCCCATTGCTGCTGCTCCATCGTCCACAGTGTCTCATGCCATGTGCCACTTTCAGGTCTCCTCACACTGCTGGTGTGTTCCATTTTTTGTCATAGGGTGCTGGCAGATTACGGGCCTCCCATAGCTGCTGCCAGGCCCCTAATCTGCCATGGGCCCCTGTACCGCCTCCTCATGCTGCTGCCAGGTCCAGAGTCTCTCATGGGTCCCTGTACGGCCTCCCATTGCTGCTGTCTCCATCGCCACACTCTGCCATGTGCCACTTTCAGGTCTCCTCACACTGCTGGTGTGTTCCATTTTTTGTCATAGGGTGCTGGCAGATTACGGGCCTCCCATAGCTGCTGCCAGGCCCCTAATCTGCCATGGGCCCCTATACCGCCTCCTCATGCTGCTGCCAGGTCAGAGTCTCTCATGGGTCCCTGTACGGCCTCCCATTGCTGCTGTCTCCATCGCCACACTCTGCCATGTGCCACTTTCAGGTCTCCTCACACTGCTGGTGTGTTCCATTTTTTGTCATAGGGTGCTGGCAGATTACGGGCCTCCCATAGCTGCTGCCAGGCCCCTAATCTGCCATGGGCCCCTGTACCGCCTCCTCATGCTGCTGCCAGGTCCACAGTGTGTCTCTCATGGTCCCTGTGCCACTCCCATTGCAGGTCTCCTCACACTGCCATGTGCCACTGTGTTCTCTCCATTTGTTCCATTTTTTGTCATAGGGTGCTGGCAGATTACGGGCCTCCCATACCTGCTGCTGCAGGCCCCTAATCTGCCATGGGCCCCTGTACCGCTTCCTCATGCTGCTGCTGCCAGGTCCACAGTGTGTCATGCCATGTGCCACTTTCAGGTCTCCTCACACTGCTGGTGTGTTCCATTTTTTGTCATAGGGTGCTGGCAGATACGGGCCTCCCCATTGCTGCTGCCAGGCCCGTAATCTGCCATGGGCCCCAGTACCGCCTCCTCATGCTGCTGCCAGTCCACAGTCTCTCATGGGTCCCTGTACGGCCTCCCATTGCTGCTGTCTCCATCGCCACACTCTGCCATGTGCCACTTTCAGGTCTCCTCACACTGCTGGTGTGTTCCATTTTTTGTCATAGGGTGCTGGCAGATTACGGGCCTCCCATAGCTGCTGCCAGGCCCCTAATCTGCCATGGGCCCCTGTACCGCGCCTCCTCATGCTGCTGCCAGGTCCAGAGTCTCTCATGGGTCCCTGTACAGCCTCCCATTGCTGCTGTCTCCATCGCCACACTCTGCCATGTGCCACTTTCAGGTCTCCTCACACACTGCTGGTGTGTTCCATTTTTTGTCATAGGGTGCTGGCAGATTACGGGCTTCCCATTGCTGCTGCCAGGCCCGTAATCTGCCATTGGCCCCCGTACCGACTCCTCATCTGCTGCTGCCAGGCCCATAATCTGTCATGGGCCCCTGTTGTCGCTTGTTGGCATATTCCGCTCGTTCAGATGCTCCTTCTCCTGCTACTCCTTCACGGATTCCGTCAGCAGTCTTTCTTGGAATCCGTTTCCAAGAGACAACAGTTTGCAACCACGCACCCGACGGTGCAGAAGCTGAATGTCCTCCTGTCCAAGTTGCTGCTGCCAGGCTCGTAATCTGTCATGCACCCCTCATGCTGCTGTACCGCCTCCTCAGAGTGCTGGGTGTATCCTGCAACTCCCATTCCTGCTCCAAGGCCTCTGCCATACCCCGTATTGCCTCAGTGTGCCAACTTTCATGGTCCCGAGTGTGTCATGGGCCCCCGTACCGACTCCTCATGCTGCTGCCAGGCCCGTAATCTGTCATGGGCCCCTGTACCGCCTCCTCATGCTGCTGCCAGGTCCAGAGTGTGTCATGGGTCCCTGTACGGCCTCCCATTGCTGCTGCCAGGCCCGTAATCTGCCATGGGCCCCCGTACCAACTCCTCATGCTGCTGCCAGGCCCGTAATCTGTCATGGGCCCCTACTACCGCCTCCTCATGCTGCTGCCAGGTCCAGAGTGTGTCATGGGTCCCTGTACGGCCACTGCTGGTGGTTTCCATTTTTTCCATCATAGGGTGCTGTATGGCCTCCCATTGCTGCTGCCTCCACCGCCACACTGTGGCTCCACACTCTGGTTTTGGCCCCGTGACTGCCCAAATGAGTGAAGTGTGCGGTGATTCTAAGATCGACGGCACTCATCTGCATGTCATACTGACTGTCAGTATTATTTCTCTTCCCCAGCAGACTCCAAGGGCATTTAAATTAAAGGTACAGTGTTCTGCACTAATATAAAGGCTCTCTGAAGCCTAGAAACACCCTTTTATAAGTTAAATTTGCGGCGAATATATTCGACTCGAATCGAAATTTTTTCACGAATTCGCCGAATCAGTCGAATCTAATTTTTGAATAATTCGCTCATCTCTACTGATAATGTTCCGTCTGTTAATACTCTGGCTGAAGGGAGGGAATATAGTGCTAGGATGGCTGTTAGGATCCATCCCGTAATTCCAAATTTCTGTAATGTCAGTCACATAAATAGCCAGTGTATTCGATCAAATGCTTTTTCTGCATCCAAGGATAGGAGTATTGATGGCTGTTTGGTATGTTCTAAATGGTGGAGAAGAGATATAGGTCTTTTGGTGGCATCGGGTGCTTGGCAGCCTGGTATGAATCCTACTTGGTCTGGGTGTATTAAGTTAGGAAGATAAGGGTGTAGTCTATGAGCTATAATTTTTGCATAGAGTTTTATGTCTGTGTTAAGTAGGGAGATTGGTCTATAATTTTGGATGAGTTGGCGGTCTTTACCAGGTTTTGGGATTGTTGTTATTGTCGATTGTAGCATGTCTTTGGGGAATATGCCAGTGGTGGCTGCATGGTTAAAGAGTTTGGATAGGTAAGGTGCAAGATTTGGGATAAAATTTTGTAAAATTCATTAGTATAACCGTTGTTTCCTGGAGATTTGTTAAGAGGGAGTGTTTTGGTGATATTTTCTATTTCTGTGATAGATATCGGAGTAGATATAGCATCAAGTTGGGATGGGGAGAGTTGGGGGAGTTTGGTTGTGTGAAGGAATTTTTGTATGGATGTAAGTGTTGGTTGGATGGTGTCAGGATCGTTTTTAAGATTATATAGTTGTTGGTAATAGGTCGCAAAGGCGTTAGCTATTTCTCGTGGATTTGGGGTTAAAGTATGTGTGGTTGGGTGGTGAACTGAGGATATTTTTGTTTTTTAGGCGTCGCTGTTTAATTATTTTATGGTAATAAGGCATTAGCTTTGTTGCTCATAGAGTAAAATTTAGCTTTTGTTTTTTGAAGGTTGAGGTCGTATTTATAAAGTAGGAGGGTTCTGAGCTTGTTTCTATCTATGGCGAGGGAAGTAGAGGTTGAAGGGTCTAGGGATGTTTTGTTTAATTCTTGTTTTGTTTTAATTGACATGAGGAGTTCATCTATTTATTGATTTCTTTGTTTAGAGATACGGGCGTTTAGTTGAATAAGAATACCTCTCATGTATGCCTTGTAGGTTGACCATAGTATAGGTATAGAAATATCAGGCGATTCGTTCATTTAAAAAAACAGATTATGAGCATTTAGTATATGTTTTCTGTGGTCTGGATTCTTCAGTAAGGTTGAATTTAATTTTCACATTCGAGGGATCGAAGAGTGTTGATTGTGGTCCAGAGTGATGGAAATTGGAGCGTGGTCCGACCATGTTATGATGCCGATCTTGGAGGAGGTGATATGTTGTAAGGTCCACTTGTCTGTGATAAAAAGGTAAATTCTGGAATAGGAGAGGTGGGCCGGAGAATAATAGGTGTAGTCTTTTTCTGAACCGTGTTGGCATCGGCATATGTCGTAGAGGTCGTTGTTGTGTAGAAAACGGTTAAAAGTGTGTTTAAAGGAGCGTTTACTGGAAGAGGAGTCCAGGAGTGGGTTGTTTATGATGTTGAAATCTCCTCCTAGTAGTAGTCTGCCTTGTCTCTGGGTAGTACTGATTGTGATTAGTTTGTTGTAGAATTGGAGTTGGTTGGTATTTGGCCCATAGATATTGACCAGGGTATATAGGATTTAATTGATCTTGCATATTACAATATGGTAGCGGCCTTGTGGATCTGCTAATTCTGAGATATATTGGAATTGGAGGGAGTCTCTTATGGCGGTGATGACGCCGTTCTTTTTCCTGGAGTTGGTTGCCATAAACATTGATGAGAAGTGGTGTAGACCAAATTTGGGAACCTTGGAGGAGGCAAAGTGGGACTCTGGATGAAAAGAACATCATTGCAGAGAGCGAGCATCTTTTTGCAGTAGAGATCTCTTGTAAGGAGAGTTGAGGCCTCGGACATTCAAAGATGATATGCTAATCATGTTGTTGGGTATATACGGGTTGCATGGAGTCGGAGGGATAATTTGTAAGTTGTGTGAAAAGTTGAATATTTCTTTGTCTTGTATGTAAAACTTCCATAACAAAGAAGTAGTAGAAGTGATCTTGATATATTTGCTGGTCTGGAGAGGTTGTTTCCGCTTGTAGTAGAGATGTTCGATGGAAAGAAGGTTGATGTGAGGGACTGGTGAACTGAGGTGGGTAGGGGGTTTAAGGGGGTGTTAAATCTAAATTATGATTCGGCATTTATATTGATAGCAAGCTTGCAAAATATTTGGTTTTTATGATTAGTCATAATTAATATTAATATGTGTAAGTGGTCTTTGACAAATGGTAGTATTTACTATTCTTCAATTATAGCTGAGACCAAAAGATATACAAGTTAAGCTGAAAAATAGTATATACCAGTTGAAAGTTGAGTAGACTATATTTAGAGATATTTAGGCATAGAAGTATTTGGTAGTTATGTCAAGGTTATTAGAAGTGACTTACTATTACATTACGTATTTTCTGTGTATATTTAGTATACGTCTCTAACACTGATACATATATAGTTTAGTGATTATACATTGATATGTTCTTAAGCTATACTATTCTTTAAATATATAGCTGAGGGTTACATCATTGGTACATCAGCATACATATGTTCCTGTCCATCGAACATCATATGTTTAGCATCTTTACCTTATATGAAATGGCTTTGCTAAGCAGTAATACTTTCCATAGAAGGTATTGAGATCACTAACTATGACGTACATTTGCCTCTTAAAAGTCCATGAGACGACGGACACACACACACGCTCACACACTAATATTGACACTTTGACATACACGTACACACACGGATGAGATGCTGGAACAGGTGCTGCAAGACGAGATCATCATTAACGTCACGTCCGGCTCTTTCTCTCTCGGACTCTGAGTTGGAGAAGGACAGGAGAATCGCACATGGCAAGGACAGCCATGACAGATAATGGTGACTTTTTCTTTAAACCTTCGCTTGTCATTTTTACAATAGTTTTATCTACATGGAACTGTTCATAATACGCTTTACATTGTTATTTTACTCCATTGTGTGATAGAATAAAATCACACTTCATTTTTATTTCAATGGCTCTTTCATTCATAATCGCCTCAAGACACTAGAAGAAGTATTATATGTGTCTAAAAATCTAACAGGGGGTTAAAAAAAAACTTGTGAAAAATACAAGTAACATATGTAGCAGATGTTGCTACTGTGTAACGGGGGAACAGAAACGTACATGACTCACGCAAGGAGTCATGTTGACGAACAACTTGAAGTTTAAAAATGATCAGTTAGGGGCCGTTTGTCAGCCTTTAGTGGTTTTGAAATGGTACCCAGTGTGTCGGGTAGTAGATGGTGTTAGGGATTTTTGGTTCAGGACTATTCTGCTTCCATTTGTTGTGGTCGGGTTGAAGTGGATTGGTGGGAGTCCACGGGTAGGATGTTCCATGTCTTCAGGAGTTCTATGCCTGCTTCTAGGTTTTTGACCGTGTAGAGCCTTCCTTGATGCTTAACGATGAGTTTCATGGGGAAACCCCATTGGTAGCCGATACCATGGTTCCGCAGCGCTTTGGTTATGGTAATAAGTTTCTTGCGGTTGAGAAGTGTAGCTTTGGATAAATCTGCAAACAATTTTATATTCGCCTGAGAAGCCGGAATTGAGGTAGGGTTTCTAGCAGCCGTCATGATTTTTTCCTTCACGTGGTAGAAATGCACACGCGCTAGGATATCTCTGGGTATTGCGGCCGGCAGGAACTATGGTTTTGGTATCCTATGTGCGCGGTCTATGGCAAGTTCCACGTCCGTCAGAGAAGGAATGAGGCATTTCATGTATTGCTGGATGTAAGGTACTATGTCACCTGTAGCGATAGTTTCCGGTATTCCGCGAAATTTAATATTATTGCGCCTGGAGCGGTCTTCTAGGTCTGCCAATTTTAGATTAATTTGTTCTATGTCAGCTACGTGGTCTGTGTTGGCGTCTATGAGGTCATTATGTGCCGTGAACATTTTCCCCATTCTGTTCTCAATATGGAATGGCGAATGCGTCGGTCCTGATTTTGTACCGCGGATGAGATTTGCGATATAGTTGTTGTCAGGTCGTCATATAGTGTTTGTCGCAGGGATAGTAGCATACTTTTCATTGAAATTTCAGTGATAGGGTGGTCAGTAGCAGGAAAGTTATCAATTAGAGCTAAAGTAGAAATGGCGGTAATTGTAGGAGGAGCAGAAGATTGCAGGTCAGAGTTAGATTGCATGTCCAGTCTGGGTCTGGACTTAGCAGGGCTTGTAGAAGGAGACAGGGGCAGAGAGGACTCACCCGGGTCTCCTGGGTATAGTGGAGCCTTGAGCCTGGGGTCTGTGTGCTGCGCTGTGTCTCCCTCTGCTTGTGTGAGGAGACTGTCAGCAGTGGAGCTGGCGCCATCTTGGATACAGGGGCTGAGAGCAAGGAAGAAGCTCATCAGCTTCCCTGGCTGTCCTGGTGATCTGCGGCATCAGGGCATGATCCGGAGGGTGGCAGGAGCCTCTGCTACCCCTTATGTCTCTGGGGAGAGGCTGCGGTGTGTCTGGGTCCGGTGTGTGCCGTGGTAATGCTGACGGCGGGATGGAGCTCTCACTCACGAGCTGTCATCCCAGAGCCAGCCGCGCATGCGCCCCTCGAGATCATATTTTAGATGTGTCCATCTCAATGATTTATACAAAGGTCACTTTAAAACAACATTGTGTGCTTTATTTCCTCTTTTTAGAAACCAATATTTTGCTTGCTTTTGGCTGATTGGCAACTAAGCATTTGTTAAACAGTATTCCCAAGTCCTGCTATATCTCTGTTTTGCCTGACCATATTGTCCTAGAAAGCGGCAATAAGCTTTGAAGCCTGCTTATGATTGCAATG